TTGACATAAGTGTGGGGTTTTGAATGGCTAATTGTATGTATTAAAGTGCTTAGAGAGGTGTAGTCACTCTTATATCTAAATGTATCCTACCCATCCCGCAGCCTACATTACAATCAATTAAAGTCCTACTTGATCCTTGACTGAATGAGCTCAATTAGTAGAGTAGTACACTACAGGAAAGCCTATGGTACGTCTTTTATGGAATATGAATGTTGTTTCTGAGAGTGAGCGAATTCTTTCTATCTTGAGTTCCTAATTGTTCTTAAATTTTATTGCGTGTGGAACTACTCTCTATTATTGTGTGAGGGCACTTGATTCACGAAGGAAAGGTAAAGCTTGACTTCTGTGTTAGAGTAAGTGAGCGGGTTATAAATAAGGCGTGATGCTTTTGAGTCAAATTCCGAGGCTAGGATGTTACGGTATTGTATTTAATCTATTTTAATTATTCTTGGTGTGATGAGTTAGGAGAGTTGTTTAAAAAGGTCGTGTTTATATTAAGTGTAGTCTGATTGCTCGAGGACGAGCAATGGTTTAAGTGTGGGGTGTTGATGGTACGCTATAATCCCGTATTTTAGTCGCTTATTGCACTCTAATTCATTGCACTTTACCTGTGTTGAGCTTTAATTTTTAGTATTTTGTACTTATTATGTGTTTTATGCCTTGTAGGAATGATTCCGAGTTATGTAGATGTTGTGGAAATAAATCAAATAATTGGAGCTTCGAAGTCTGAGTAAAAGCCCCAAAGGATTAAACTGGGATCGTGTTCGAGGGTCGAGGATCACTTCTGGACGTCAAAAATCAAGGAAGAAGCACCAGATGAAGAAATGCACTAGTGAGAAGCACTGTGCGACACAACAATGTAATTTCGTGTCAGGAATTGACAAAGTTTAAAGGCTGGATTTCTGTGGTCTAACAAGAAAAAGCACTAATGCTACGCACCCTGATATGCACAGTGCGACGCATGAAAAACAATAAGTTTACAAGTTTTTCTATTTCGGCTAGGAAAGGGTGATTTCGTTTGGCCTCGAACCTACTTGGTATAAATACATAAAAAAATATTATTTTCTGGACTTTTGACATACTTTAGACCTAAGGAAGCTAAGAAGGCGTTGGAGGAGCAGAAGCACAAGGATTTCATCATTTCTTCCTCACTCAAGACCTAAGTTTGGTTTGAATTTATATTTCCCTATACTTTTATTATATTTTGATGAATTACTCCATATCTATTGAGTAGTACTCTTAGGGTTTGATGGATTTGGTGTATTGATGATTTTTTGTAGATTATAACTCTAGTTTTATGTATTGAAGCATTTTTGCATGATTTAATTGTTGCATCTATATTAACTAGTTCATGTAATCGAGAGAGGCATAACTTGTGATATCTTTGCATTATATTGTTGGTTGAGTCCATTAATTCTTCTTAGTAATTGAAAGAGGCCAGTTGAATCATTGATTAAACCTAGTTAGGAGGATAATCGGGAGAGGTTCTCCTAAAGACCAATCTACTACGCATTCTTGCATATCTTCACGTGCTTAAATTGGTTCATCTTGGGAGGTTAAACTTAATCGATAGAGGAATTTTTGCTGAACGTTTGAACTAATAATTGAGTGAATTCGAGAGACTCACTTGAACTTTAGAAGTGAATTATCTAGAGTTAGATCTCAATCAATTATCTTGCACCTATCCTATCAACCCATATTTCCTCCCACTGATAACTTCCTTGCTTATCTTTGTTTCGATTGTCATTAGTCAATAGCTTTAGACTCTTAATTAATTTTAGTTAGAAATCATATAAACCTCAATTTTTGATTCTCCTGGATAGAAACCAATCTAGAAACTATGAGAATACTGTTTAAATCTAATCCCTGTAGATATGATATTATACTATACTATATTTGATTAGCGAAGCATAATTTAATTGTGTATTTCGAGCTCGTCAAATTTTGAGTAGGTCCATGTTATGTTTTGGAACTTTTTGGTATGCTCGGACAAAGTCCCGAGGGGCTCGGGCGAGTTTCAGATCATTTTGGAACATATTGATTATTGTTGGTTTGGGCTGGGATCTGGTGTCATTGCACCTGCGGTTGCTATTGCGTAGGTGCGGTGGTCGCAGAAGCAGTTTTAGGGTCGCACTTGCAAAAAGGGACTCACTGTGGGAACTTCGTAGATGCAAAATTTTGGACGCATCTGCGGCATCGTAGAAGCGATGGCCTTGGGCGCAGAAGCAGAGAGGAGCGCAGAAGTGAGGTTTTCCTCGCACCTGCGGTTGCGCAGAAGCGGAAGGTTATCCGCAGGAGAAAGAGGTCGGCCATTTAGTGTTTGTTCATAAAAAGCAGAGATTTTGTCGCAAAAGTGGCAGGTGGTCCGCAAAAGCGAAATGTCTGGGCATAAGCTTATATATTCGAGGGTTTGTTCATTTATTCATATTTTGAGTTGGGGACCTCGGATTTGGGCGATTTGGGAGGAAAGTTTTACCACGTGGATTGGGGAATGTATTTTTGACTCGGTTTTAATTATATTTCATGATTCTATCGTCGTTTGGCATTTGATTAATGATTTTAAATGAGAAATTGAGGGTTTTTGTCTAAACTTTCCTAAAGTAAATAATTGAATTTTGAACATCGATTCGGAGTCAGACATGGGTGAAATTACTATGGTTGTACTAATAAATGAATGGGTTGTCGGAATTTGTGAGTTTTGTCAGGTTCCGAGGTACGGGCCCGAGGTGACTTTTTGGGTTGACTTTAAGTTTTGATTAAAGATTCGACCTTTATCATTTGGGTTGGTTTCCTTTGGCATTATTTGATATTTTTGACTGCTTTTGGTTAGTTTTGAGCCGTTCGGAGGTCGATTTGCGCGGGATTGCATTTCTAGAGGATTGTTTGGCTTGTTCGGTATTTTATTTGGCTTGTTCGAGGTAAGTAACATTTCTAAACTTGGAATTTAGGGTAATTATCTCTGGGAACCATGTTATTTGTGATGTGTTGGGGTGACACACATGCTAGGTGACGGGCGTGCGAGCGTGCACCGGGGGTAATCAAGATTTGGGTTGACTTTTATACTGTATTGCTATCATGTCTTGTGTTATCCATGTTTTTCCTACTTGTTAGATTAATTGAGATATGATTCATGTTATAAAGCATATTTAGGCTATATGGTTATTTGGTTAAGACCTGATGAGGTTATTTCTATTGTTTTTTGTTATCTGATTAAACTGTAATTATACAGTCAGTCATGATTCTTCATTTGAATATCATATCTCAGACTCTATTCATCATTCATTGTTACATCGCATGTTATCATTGTTTACCATGTGTGGTGTTGTTGGACTGAGTGATATGAGATTGTGAGCCCTTGAGACTTGAGAGGTTGATAACTGAGGTGGGCCTTAGAGTCGTGTTGAAAGTGTTATTGTGGATCGGGCTGCACGCCGCGGCATGCCATATTGGCTTCCTTTTTATTTATTTATTATTATTAATATTATTAGTATTATTATTATATGAATCGGGCTATACGCCGCAACTGGCCCTATGGGCTTATTATTATGTGGATTGGGTTGCATGCCGCATCAGGCCTTATTGGCTTTTGATTAGCGCTTGGGTAGGTTCCGCCCCTCCGGAGTCTAACATACTAGTAGTGATCACATGCACAATGATATACGTACACGTGCTTTGGTGAGGGGCATTGATGCCAGGCACCCGTACAGTGCTGAGTGATTTTTTATGTGTGTGTGTGTGTATATGTGATGAAGTGGGCAATTGAGATAGGCAACTTGAGTATGTTGAGCGTGAGAGTACCTGGGGATATCACCATGAAATCTTTTATTTGACATGTATACTTGGCATGTAAGCATAGAGATTCATTTTCCATATACTAGACGGTAATGTTACATTTATGATTTGACATGTAGGCATAAAGATGTATATTACTCATTCTAGACGGTATATGATAATTGATAATTTGACATGTATGCATAGAGATGTACTTTTCTCATGCTAATTGCTAAACAAAAATTATTATCTGGTGTTGTGAATTTGGAATACAATTCTTTGATAAATTTATCTTTAATTGACTCTTAGTGGTGAGATTCAGAATTGGTTGTTTTACTTGAAAAGCATACCTACTTTCCCGTAACTGTGAATGAGCTGCGCATATATCTCTTGAGTTATTTGCCTTTATTGTTCTCATTATATTATTTTGAGTTGTTATTGGCTATCGGTGTTGGACTCTGATCATTTTTCGAGCTCGTTACTGCTTTCAACCTGAGGTTAGGTTTGTTACTTATTGAGTACATGGGGTCGGTTGTACTCATACTACACTTTTGCACCTTGCGTGTAGATCTTGGAGCTGATGTTGCTGTGTATGGCGGGAGCTGGAATTGAAGATGTACCTGCATTCCAGTTATAGTTGTCACTTGTCTTTGGTAGCTTTAGATTTGCAAATCTGTTTATGTATATTTCGAACTGATGATGTATTCATTTTGTACCAGCTTGTAAATTCTAGGTCTTAGAAGCTCATGACTTGTACTACCAATCCTTGAGAGATTGTATAGAAATTCAGTTATTTTACTCATTTATTTTTATTATTCTTATCTGAGTTATGTTGATTGTTACTTGGCTTACCTAGCAGGTTGGGTTAGGTGCCATCACGACTAGATGGATTTTGGGTCATGACACAAATGCCTTAGTTTCTCAACGAAATCATGCAAAAGTCTAATTATCAAAAAGAGATAAGTTGGTAAAATACTGACTTATCATGTGTCGACAACATCAGTAGGCGTTGTGTTCCATAAGATGAGGTGACACCGATTCTAAAAGCGTGTCATGACTTTCCAATTGGTGGTCACCACAGTGGAAACCATCCGGCGGTGAAAGTGCTTGAATGTGGCTACTATTGACCATTAATATACCAAAAAACAAATCAAATGCTCAAATCATGTGATCAATGTCAAAGACAAGGGTCAATTTCTAGAAGGCATGAGATCCCTATGAATTTTGTGATGGAGGTTGAGATCTTTGATGAGTGGGGGATCGATTTCATGGGTCCCTTTGTGAGATCATATGACATGACATATATCTTTGTGGCAGTGGATTACGTCTCAAAATTGTTCGAAGCGGTTTCCTTGCCAAACAATGAGTCAAGGAGTGTAACCGACTTCTTGAAGAAAAACATATTTACTCGAATTGGAACCCCAAGGGCCATCCTTCGTGATGGTGGATCTCATTTTTGCTATAAAGTCTTTCCAGGGTTGCTCGAGAATGGAGTTAAGCACAAGGTGTCCACTCCGTATAATCCTCAATCGAGTGGTCAAGTTGAAGTCTCCAACGGAGAAATCAAGAACATTCTAGCAAAACTTGTACGCAAATAGGACCAATTGGTCAAGAAAGCTAGATGACGCTCTTTAGTATTATCAGACAGCATTCAAAACACCCATTGGAACTTCACCTTACCAGTTGGTTTTTGGAAAGGCATGTCACTTGCCGATAGAACTAGAACACAAAGCCATGTGGGCATTGAAAACGTTAAACCTTGACTGGGCTAAAGCTGCTAATCTAAGGAAAACCCAACTCAATGAGATGGATGAGTTACGTTTCCAAGCCTATGAGATTGCATCAATGTATAAAAGAGAGGATGACATCTTTTCATGATAAGAAGATCTTGAAGCGGGAATTATGATCCAGTGACTTGTTCTTACTCTCAACTCAAGGTTAAAGTTATTTTCGGGCAAACACAAGTCCAAATGGTTCGGCCCTTTCAAAGTTATTAGTGTGTCTCCTTATGGCGTTATTGAATTAGAGTCCGAAATGGGAGTCGAACCTTCAAAGTGAATGGCCAAAGGGTGAATCACTACCTTGGGACTATTGGAGAAAGGAAATTTGTGAAACGATTCCAACTGAAGGATGGTCTAAAACCAGCCTCCATGACTGATAAGTAATAAAGTGGTAACATCCTCGTGCCACAACATTGAATCAAGCGCTTCTTGGGAGGCAATCCATGTGTTAGAATGTTTTAAGATTTTTGTTTTTGTAGGTTTATGTATGTTTGTTGAACATTTTGATGTGTGAGTTTTAGAGTGTAGGGTACCCAAAATACAGATAGGTTGGATGCAAAAGCACAGGGAAAGTGGAGTGAAATGAGTTGAGCTTCAAAAGATTTCTGCGGCCACAAATGCGGACCGCATAATGGTTTTGCGGATCACATAGTGGTTGGGGATGCAACCCAAAGCTCCTGAAAATAAATTGCTCAAAAATGTAGTGGAAAGCCAATTTTGCGTACCCATAACATTTATGCGACCACAAATGCGGTCCATATTGGTCAAGCACCAACCAGGTAAAAGTCCATCGCGAAACATTTTTGCGACCCCATAAACTGTTTTGTGATAGCAAATTCATCGCATAACGCACATGTATTAAAACCCCGTTCTACTGCTAATTTCCCACTTCTTACTTCCCCTAATTCAATTTTGAACACCAAACACACTCTAACAAGAGAATCCAATCTACCTAGTGCTAAAACAACCGATTTTCAACTCATTTCAACGCATTTGGTAAGAATTTCTCCCCTCTTTCTCTTTTGCGTTTCAGTGGGTATGCAAAATTTCCCATATCTTCCATGATCCTTATTCTCCTGCTACCTTATTTCTGTGCTATCTAAGAATCCCTTGCCGGGATTTCTTCTAAGTTTTGATACGTGGTGTGTGATTGTTGGGAATGATTGATATGCCAAACTCATGGGGTTAGGACAAAGTTTGTTCACTGTATTGATTCTTGTTAAGATAATGCATGTTAGGTATTTGTATGTTGTCGTTGAAATTGCTCAGATGTGGGTCGTTGTGTGTTGATTTCATCTCTGTAGCTTGCATGTGATATGGGGTAGAATTCGAACTCTAGGGTTACATGTGTATAGTCACTCATGTCTCAGTCTCAGTGAAAACTATGACTTCTGCGGTACCGCACAACTAATTTGCAGTCCGCAGAATGATCGCATTTTTGAGGAACATTTTGTGTCTATGGGTTGATGATGTCACTGTGGATTCTACAATCGTGAACCTGATATGCGGACAGCAAATACATCACACCTTGTTCCAGTAGCTTTGCATTTTGGAGTTAACTCTGCAACAATTTTGCGGTCCGCGGGATCGTTATGTGACCTCATTTGCAGTCTGCATAAATGTGGCCACTTTTGAGCTTATTCTGCGGTTCATTTCGCGGTCCGCAGATCTATTTTGCAACCTGATATGTGATCCGTGGAATATTTTTCTCCTGCATTTCCTTTCTCATTCTCTATGATTGCTTCTGTCATATGCTGACCTGAGTTTAATTGGTACGAATGGCTCCGAAGAAAACATAACCACCCACAACAACCAAAACTCGAGGGAAGAAGCGAGTTGGAGTTACAAATCTGAAATCACGTCAGCCCCAACCTAAAAAGCCTTGCACAATGGATACATCATCCAAATCCCCCTCCCAATATGAAGAGGAGAGGGTGCCACTCAACCCAGTGCCAGCAGTCCATCCTCGCACTAAAATGCAAAATAAGAATTTTGAGGATAAAATCAAGTTCAGTGCCGCCGGATCATGGGATAAATTCAAAGTCGTGTTGCACAAAAGAAACATCCTCGAAGAAAAGAAGCTAAGCTTGAATGAACTTAATGATAACTATCCTCATATATTTGATAACATCACGAAGTGGGAATGAGAGTTCTATACTGAGCCTCAAGGAGACTACAATGAAGTAGTTATGCGTGAATTCTATACTGCCTCATTTACTAGAAGCAAGCAAGGCACCGTGCTTACTTGTCGTCGATCAAAGTTAGAGGGGTTGATGTATCTTGTAGTCCTATAACGATCAATGATTTCTACTTCAAGGATTGGGATAGAGGCACGACAGAATTTGTTGCCAAGACGGCGCAAATGGAAGATGAGCGCGGTTGGGTAGCATCTGTCATAGCACAAGGAACTCTATCCTGGATTGAGTCAGTAAACAAAATTCAAAAGAAAGATCTCACTGCTGGAGGCCAGTATTGGCTGAGTTTTGTTTGTACTCACTTGCAACCATCTAAAAATGAAACTGACATCAGTATAGAAAAGGCTATCTTAATTGCTTCAATCATGTCAGGATTCAAGGTTGATGTGGGCAAGATAATATTCCATGAGATTGGTATCCATGCAAATCAAGAACAAACTTCGCTTCCCTTTCCTTGCCTCATCACTACAATGTGATAAAGCGGGGGTTCCACCAATTCCCCGGTATGACCGTAGGTTGGAGGCTACCTAAGACATTGATATTACTAGGTCCCTTACACCTTCCATTGCTTTGGAGAGTGTGCCCGTTGATCAAGCAGTCGTCCTCCCTCTGGCTTCATCTACTCTGGCATTACCTTATGCCTCCATACCATAGCTAATCACCGAATCAACGCCCAGGCCAACCACTGCCTCACTGCCTTCCATTTCACAGCTTGGCTGACTGGAACAAAATACTAATGCCAAGTTGGACAAGCTTATGAAAGATCTTCCAATTCTCATTCAGCAAGCTATGGCACCACTCCAAGCATCAGTGAGTGATCTTCAGAAGAAACATCAATCTTATGATGATCGGCTATAGAAATTTGAAGCTCGACTTGAGAAGGTTGCACGAGGTAGAGATGAAGACGTGCCTAAGCTAAAAACAAAGATGTTGCCGAGCTTAAGTAAGAGATATACAAAATTCAGTCCTTGGATTTGAACTTCACAAACCTTCTTCCAATAGAGGAGGAACATGGCACTGGCACCTCACAGGCTCCGAACATTACTGTGCATACTGATGAACATTCGGATGAGGAAACAGTGGAGTCTCATTACGAGACAGATGAAGAGTAGGCTGGTGAAGAGGTAGATGACCAGCTGCTATACAAGGGAAAACATGTTTCATCTACAGAAGACAAAGATAAAGAGGAGGCAGATCTGCAGAGGGTCATAGCACAATCACTCGAGGATGTGGCTTCCATGGCTGCCACCATTTTCGCAGGGCCATCACCGTATGAGGCAAACAGCTCACAGGTGCAGGACCCGGCTCCGCGACTTGATGAGTCAACTACTTTGGTCCCAGACTCCATTGTCCAGCCTGAGGTTTAGCCCATTGAACCTCCAGTTGCAGCTCCCGGCCCCACAACCGCGTCAGATAGTCCAACCCCTCTAATTGTAGGCAATAATCTCATATTTAAGTCGCTTATTGCACTCTAATTCACTGTATTTTACTTGTGTTGAGCATTAATGACTAGTATTTTGTACTTATTATGTATTTTATACCTTGTAGGAGTGATTCCGAGATATGTAGATGTTGTGGAACTAACTTGAGCTATTTGGAGCTTTGAAGTCTGAGTAGAAGCCCAAAGGATAAAGCCGGGATCGTGTTCGGGGGTCGAGGATCACTTCTAGACGTCAAAAATCAAGGAAGAAGCAACAACTGAAGAAATTCACTAGCGCGACGCACTGGGCAACGCAACAGTGTAATTTTATGTCAGGAATTCACAAAGTTCAGAGGCTGGGTTTCTGTGGTCTGACAAGAAAAAGCACTAACGCTATGCACCCTCTACGCACAGTGCGACGCATGAAAAGCAATAAGTTTGCAAGTTTTCTATTTCGGCTAGGAAAGGGTGATTTCATTTGGGCCCTACCCTACTTGGTATAACTACATGGAAAAATATTATTTTCTGGACTTTTGACACATATTTGACCTAAGGAGGCTAAGGAGGCTAAGGAGGAGTTGGAAGAACGCGAGCACAAGACCCGAGTTTGGAATGAATTTATGTTTTCCTTTACTTTAAACTTATTTGTGATGAATTGCTCCATATCTATGGAGTAGTTCTCTTTAGGGTTTGATGGATTTGCTGTATTGATGATTGTTTGTGGATTATAACTCTAGTTTTATGTATTGAAGCATTTTTGGATGATTTAATTGTTGCATCTATATTCACTAGTTCATGTAATCAAGAGAGGCATAACTTGTGATATCTTTGCATTATCTTGTTGGTTGAGTTCATTAATTCTTCTTAGTAATCGAAAGAGGCAGGTTGAATCATTAATCAAACCTAGTTAGGAGAATAATCGAAAGAGATTTTTCTAAAGACCAATCCACTACGCATTCTTGCATATCTTTACGTACTTAAATTGGTTAATCTTGTGAGGTTAACACTTAATCGAGAGAGGAGTTTTTGCTGAACATTTGAACTATTAATTAAGTTAATTCGAAAGGCTCACTTGAACATTAGAAGTGAATTATCTAGAGTTAGATCCCAAACAATTATCTTGCATCTATCCTATCAACCCCTATCTTTCTCCCACTGATAACTTCCTTGCTTACCTTTATTGCGATAGTCATTAGTCAATAGCTTTAAATTCTTAGCTAATTTTAGTTATTAATCATATAAATCTCAATTGTTGATTCTCCTGGATAGCAATCAAGCTAGAAACTATGAAAATATTATTTAACTCGAATCCCTGTGGATACAATTTTATACTATATTATCTTTGACTAGCGAGCATAATTTAAGTGTGTGTTTCGAGCTCGTCACCCTCCAAGCTCATAGTGCGATCCGGGAAGACCCTAAACTTTTTTCTTACTTTTTAAATACATTGGGGATAATGCATGCTTCTATGTTGGGGGTGGGGTGGCAAGAAATGTTTTGCTAATGTACATAGATGTTAGTCTTGATATTGTAGTTAGTAATGAATTCTCCTTGGTTTTTCTTTGCAGTGTTCTTTTCCAAGGGTGTAGTAGTAGAACAACGGCTATAGTTCTGAAATATTTTGACTTGTTTGGTGCTATTGTATTAGATTTAAGCATGTGATAAATTTTTGTAAAATAAATTACACCCTTCAAATTTTGTGAATAAATAGTTATTTCGGGAAATCGAGGCTCGTTCTGTGATTTTGTGTGTTTACTAGAATCCCAATATCATGAGATGAAGCTTTGTGTTTCCTTGTGTTCATTTGAGGGATGAAAATATGCTGATTTGAACATTTCATGCGTCATGTGTGGAGAGATATTGTGAATAATGCATGTGCTTAACTCGTACCGTCTAGAACTTGCACAGTTGGTTCCTCAATGCGAATCTTAGGTTAGTGTTTGGTTGTAGAAATGATCTTAGGCTCTCTTTGTGATTGTTAACCGATTCTTGGCCAGATTTATCGCCCTTGAGTCTTTACCCATTGGTCCTTTAATCTTTTCTTTGGATACCACATTACAAATCTTTTCCTTTTTTGTGAATTACTCCCTTATTTGAACTCGTCCCTCCTTGAATGTTATGAATGAGGCTTAAAGTCTAAGTTTGGGGTGTTGGTGTCAGTCGGGAAATGGCAAAGATGTGTATCGTGTGTAGAGGCTAATCCCTCGAGGTTGTGTCTTGTGAAGCGTGTGGCTAAGTTAAGAGCCAACATACTTAAAACCAAAAGCTTTACATAATCCTAAGCGACAAAATACTCAATCTTCAAAAAACAAATAGAGTGTTGAGCAAATTTGGTAGAACACACAACTAGGGGTGATTATGAACTACAAGACAAGTCGATATTGGCAACTAGATATCAATAAGGGCGTTGTGGGTTTTTCATGAAAGAATATTTGTAGTGTTCAACGAGGGTATAGTCACTCATGTCCCAAATATTCATCCAACCTATCCCCAAGCATTCACTATAATCCATGAAAAGTCCTTTGTGATCAAACAATCAAATATGCCCGAGCCAGCAACGAGTGAAAATAAGGGCAAGAGTATGAAGTGATTATTGTGGCATTTGATTTTCTTCCGGATTGTATATAGTTATCTCTCATACTTTGGGAATTTTCTTTGTTGAGGGCGCATGAATTGCAAGAATTAGCAGAACCTAGGCTTCTTGAAGTGGGATGCAAGTGCATATCTAGCTAATAGTAGCACTCTGTCATTGCTTTTGAGGCTCGAAGCTCATGAAATGATTGTTTGAATGGCTAAACACTTTGTGTTTTTGCTGAAGAGTAAATGAGGGAAGTCACATGCTTGTCAGCTAACAATTAGCACTATCTAAAGTCATTAATGTTTTGTGAAAAGTCGGAAGTAGATTAGTTTCCTAGTATGGTTGCACTTTAGTTGCTTGAGGACAAGCAAGAGTTTAAGTTGTGGGTGTTGATGTGTCATAGAAATGCGGCACTTTCAATACTAATTTCATATACTTTAGCTTACCTTTTAAAGTATTTTAGATCGTTTCTTATGTTGTTTTATTGCTTTGTAGGAAATTGGACTTGAAAAGCCAAGAACATGAAAAAATGTCAAAAATACTTAATAAGTCAGATTTGCCGTCAAATAAGCGATTGCAGAATGGATGTGCGGATCACTTTCATCGCAAAAGCATCTAGACCTACCGAGTTTCAGGAATCAAATACATGGTCCATTATGTAGGCCGCATAATAGATGTGTGGATTGCAGATTCATCGCACAAACACAAAGGGAACTTTCATTGATCAGAGGCGACAGACCGCAGAATGATTATGCGGACCATATAGCCATTCTGCGATGAAATTTTGGGAGTGTTGAAGAATAGATCTGCGGTGATTCAACAGATGTGCATTTCGCAATCGTGGAACTTTCCTGAGGGATATTTTGTCACAAATGTGTCAGCGCTTTTTGACCATTATAAATAAAAGAGCTAGGGTTTTTGTGGGTCATCTTGGTTTAAAAAAGGTCCTACATTGAGAGCATTGAATACTTCATTTATTTGGAGTTTTTTGGAAAGATTCCATCACTTTGTCTTCATTGTAAGATTTTATGTCCTTCGTTAATGCTTTGTTCTTATATTTTAGTATGAGTAGCAAACTTTAAAGACTATGGTTGTGGACCTAAAGTCGGTGTAATGCTGGGTGTTTACCGTTGAATATATATATATATATATATATATATATATATATATATATATATAATGGTTTGTTGCTTTCTCTTCATTTCACATGCTTTATTTATAGTTGGTGGTTGCATATTGTCATTTTACTTGGAAACGTGGGTTAGGATTTGGTAGAAATGAATAGCAAGAACTCAAGGCTTTAAACCTTGTTTAATAGAATTGCTTAGGAATAAGTGAGTTCTGCTTGGCATATATTGGTTGCTCTTAATTATAACTCTTTTGTATTTGGGAAAATCATAAGAGGAAATTATACCTAATTAGTGGAAAATATTCGGTAGATATTTTTGAACCATTGGAATATTAAAGGACTTCCCATTAGAAATATATCATATTAACATCGATAGCATTACATTTCATAGAAGGGGACACAACCTTGGTTTCTCAATCCAAATAGTCAAATCTCTTAACAAAATAGAGCCTCTTCATAGTTTACAAATATCAAACTCTTTTCAAATTAACGAGATAGAATTACAACCTTAGTCGAGTGGCACACTATTCAAGTAATCGTTTCACGCCTATTCCCTATGGGATTCGACCCCAATCTAGTTGGGTTATTATATACTATTTATATAGGTGTATTTTAAGCGTACCAATATTTGACTAATAGTTGTTGTTGTGGGAAAACTCCACTAGAGATAGAAACCGATTCTACGGTCTGAAATGATAGAATAGGCACACCGTGCAGGAGAATAATCTCCCTGGTGTAAATGTGAGTCAATTGCTCTGAAGAGTAGGAAGTCATCGCCGGAATGAAATGTGCGCACTTGGTTAACAAATCCATAATGACCCAAGCGGCATCATACCTCTTCAAGGTTCGTGGCAAGCCTACCACACTGTCCATAGTGATGCGCTCCTACTTTCACTCATGTATTACCAATTTCTGAGTCAGACCACCTGGTTTATGATGTTCATACTTCAGATGTTGACAATTCAAACACCGAGAGACATGTCCAACAATGTATTTCTTCATATTCTGCCACCAATAATGCTGCTTCAAGTCACGATACATCTTCATGACACTTGAGTAAATAGAATACCGTGAGCTATGAGCCTCTTTAAGGATCAACTCTCTCAACCCATCAACATTCGAAACACAAATCCAGCCTTAAAGCCGCATAACACCATCATCCCCAATCACGACCTTCTTAGAACCACCCCGTTGTACATTGTCCTTCAACACCAAAAGTGAGGATCATCAAACTGGCGAG